GCGCCATCTGAAGCAAAGAGCATACTTCCTGCGGACACTTTTTTGGCTGAGTGGCCCATCTTGTTATTCACTATCTTTGTTGTCAGTCGAGCTTCACATACTTCAACACTGATAGTCAGCTCCCTGGAAATCAAGCTACCTCACACACCCGTCCTTTTTTTTTTTTTTAAGAAACTGACTGCGTCAACCAAAGCAATCCATTTCCACTGACTTTGCCACAAACTAAAAAGATTTTTTTTGTAAAGGAAAGCATTTTATGCCTCCATCAACACAATTTAGATCATTAATGATGTTTAGGAAGTGGGCAAGGCCAACCCAGAGAGGGATACGATGTCCCAGCAGAGAGACCGAGTTACTCAATAAAAAGTCTCCTTACTCGGGAATTGAATTCCAGTTTCCAGCATGCAACAGTGAAGTGCCTATCCAACTACACAACAGACAACAGATATTTTTCTTTCTTTTTTTTAGTAAGCGTTTTACGGCACTTGCAATACATTACATCATATCAGTGCCAAAGATTAGAGGTATTACAAGAGAGTAACTAACACAAAAATGGAGGAGGATAAGAACGATAGATATTTCATGGAAAGGAAAGAGCAAACCACACCAGAGCACCCACCAATCACATCAAAGACAACGGTCTAAAAGAATAGAGGCACCAATGACTGCACGGTACAAGCAGTTTCAGTCTCAAAGAGCATCTTCCACAACACACAAACAAAATCTGAGATGTCATCGTTACAGGCATTGATAAAAACTTGTCATTTCATTTCTAAAATATAAATCCTCTTAGAAAAAATTTTGTTCTAGCTCTTTGTCTACCAGATACATCCCTCCCTAAATAAAATATTAAATGCCAAAGACATCACTACCAAAAATGTGGATGATTTTTGTTTTAGTATCTCAAATAGAGACCTGAACTATCTCATAGCGTTCTATCTTTGGTATCTTTGACTTGGGAAATACCAACAACTTTGAAAAAAGAGATCACATCAAGAGAACAAGTCACTTGTCACTTAATGCTGGGGAAAAGCAAGACAAACAGAGAGGAACGATTTTTTTTTTAAATAGTAGAGGGTTTTACGGCGCTCGCAACTGCATAAGGTCATATGAGCGCCAAGGGGTGGGTGTCAAAAGAGAAGTCTTTACAGGGAATCGGACTTAGACTGCTCACCTCTCTAGCTTCAACAGCACAAGGTCTGCTTCGACCATCAAGGCACTCCGGAAATAGCAGGTCACAAGAGAGTGACAAACATACAAAAGAAATAGAGGAAAATGACAATAGTAAGGATCAGGAAAGAAAAAGCAGCAGTTCCCTGTTGTAGATCAGGCATAGTTAAGAGCGTGACATGAGTCAGCCCATTTACAATTCTACTATGCTTGAACGAGAAATGTCCTCCCTTTGGGAATGGCCTAAAGACACTTCAGTCAGTGGCACTGCCCCAGGGGGTGAGAGAAACGATTGAGGGGAAAGAAGAGACGTTGGACCTATCAGTGGCATCCTTCAACTACCTATGTTAACAGAGAGGACAAGTCACGCGAACAAAGTAGACCTGTTTCAAGGCTCATCACTTACCTGAGTTTAGTTTTAGTAGAGGTTTTACGGCACTCGCAACCGCATAAGGTCATATGAGCGCCAGAAGATTAGAGGTGTTACACGAGAGTAACAAGCATAAAAAAGAAGAAGTGGAGATAAGGACGATAGAAGTTTGATAGGAAAGAAGGAGCAAACCACCCCAGAGCACCCGCAAACCATCCATTCTCACCTGAGTGATCGGGTCGAAGTACTTTGCTGGCAGTTTGGTCACAGCACACATAGTCTTGGAGGGCGGCTTGCATTTTCTGTGAATAGATTGTAAATGCTCTTAGCTCTGTCGATACCAAGCAGTGCTATGATGCAGATGATCCTGGTTTGATCTCCATAGTGGCATTTTTTAACTTAAATCAGATGTTGAGTTTTTAAGAGTGTTTTATGAACCCCACAGAACAGTTAAGACCACTTAGGAGGCAGGCTTCTGACCCTGCCTGTCGAGGCCAACCCAGACTGAGAGGGATACAATATCCCAGCAGGAAGACAGAGATACTGGGCATTCGATAAAAATTTTCTCCCCACTCTGGAATCAAACTCAGGCCTTCTGCATGCAACAGCAAAGCGCCTAACCACTACACAACCGATGTCAGTAGAGATGGACATTACATACGGAGGCTCCGTCCCTAAAATAACTGCACAGTACTGAAAGAGGTAATAAGCAAAGTTGCAATTTATGAAAAATCAATACTGAATGATGAAAATTTTTGTGAAGAATACAACAATAACAAAACTGAGCCTCTATCAAATATATTCATAAAACTAGCATTCACAGGACTGTAAACAATATGAAAAATGAACATCAAGTACAAGTTCAGGATCAAATATGGCTACACAAAATCACCTAAACCCATGTAATTCCGAAAACGTTCAGAATATGATACTTTTTTCTTTTTATTCCCTCCCCCACCCCAGTGTCCAAACGCCTTCACTAGGTTAAAAACATGGCCAACAATGTTAGAAGTTTTATTTCAATAAGTTTTAAAGTTACGATCAAAAGGATAGTAGATGATGACGCAAGTGAGGGGTACTGTCCACGTCACTTGTAGCCAAGTCGGTTGTAAAGATCTTCGGACGTAGCGATCTTTTTCCGTGGAACAGGCACCGATGTAACACAAACTCAATAAAATTGAAACGGTTGTACCGAATTTACTACATCCATCGCGACAGCTGTAGGGATGTGTATTCTTATCCCCGGCCCAAATAGTTTATAGTAAAAATATAACTGTTTTAATAAAGTTTTCTGCATGTAATTTTGACCTAGCACTGATGAACCCGATGATGTTTTGTAAAGTAAAGCACATTCACACAATAGTACGAGGTATCAGACACTTAGCCAACAATCTCCCTCATGATACTATTGATAACCTTACATGATAAGCGCCGAAGCGAACACGAAACTGCCTCTCTCTCACTTCGCCTAACGCAGTATCTATCCACAGACCTCTCCGATGGAGATGGACCAATCAAAAGGCTTCTTGCCTCTAGACCAAGTAAACAAAATGTTGGGGGTTACAGGCCCCCTGTTTTAGTTTTAAAGCATTATTTGATATTTTGCAGTTAAGTTTGAAATTTTCTTGAAAATAATTATTGCTTTGCGACATTTTTAGTGGCTATATCTGTGATCTGCAGCAAATAACACGCAGTTTGACCCCCCCCTAAAGCAGTACATCTGTGTGCGGGAGTACGTCTCCGAATAGTTCCTGGGTGCTCGCCGGAGACGTCCCCGAATATCTTCCGCCTCGCCAAGCGCCATGAGGGACAACTACAAGTGAGACTGAGTACTGGGATTATTTCCCTTGAATTTTTCTTCCAACGGCTTTTGCGAACTTCGGACGTTGCGATCTTTTTTCTGACCCCCTAACGACATCGCTACAAGCGTAGTCGACTGTAGATAGAACAATCTCTCACCACTAACATAGACAGAACTTACTCTTGCGAGAAAACTTCTTTGAAGGTCGTTTCATCCGTGAAGGTGATGAACGTCCTCTCACACTTCTCATCCACCGTCAAGTCGGGCTTCTTCGTCTCTGCCACACTTAATAATAATGATAATAATAATAATAATAATAATAATAAATAAATAAATAGCATTTGTATAGCGCATATCCCCGCTCAACAGCAGGCTCTATGCACTTTACACTATATTATTACCCCAGCAGACCATAGAACACTCCGACACATTCTCAGCTTCCCGGGAAGCATACAGTGCAAGCAGCTGATTAAGCGCTCAAACACTAACAAACTGACAAGATCTTTCGCTGTCTATATACACTTCAAAATATTAAAAGGGAAAATTTATTATAAGACACATTGTGGAACATTCTGTAACTTTTAGACAATAAGGTCAATCAACATTACTAAAACTAGTAAAACTGAAACTTTGCGGTCCTCTCTTTCATTTTCAAAGCCCCTTATCTTCGTGCGCTTTTTTTTTGGGGGGGGGGGGGGGGGGGGGGAAGCATTTACACAATTTTAGATGGGTTAGTTGGTTGGCTTCAAGCCTGCCTTTCAGGCCCAACCCAGACTGAGTGGGAAACAACATGTCAGCAGAAAAACAGAGATACTCCACAAAAAAATTCCCCGAACATGAATCGAACTTGGATCTTCTGTATGCTACGGCAAAGCCAGTAACTGTACAGCACAGACACCAGTCCATTACCATAACCAAATAAGAAAAAGGCTAAATACTTTTCCATTCATACAGAGTGACCTCTACAAGATTCATTCCGAAGCAAACATTGAAACTTCACAACTCATGTAAAATATGTTTAAGCATTCAAAATATACCGAACCATGTCTTTGTTGGGAAATAGATTAAGATAACTTATCCCCTTTCTGAAGTACTGCAAGAAATGTGGCTTTTGTCCTGAGCTAGGTGCTTCGATTGAATCTGTAAGAATGCTCTGAATTTTCCTTCCCAAGAGTGAACCTTTTTCTTATATGTTCCAATTTTCTAGTCAACGTTTTCTTTACTGCAAAAATAAAACTTCCCACTGTTAACAGTTCTTTTTCTTAAAAACAAAACGGGGGGGGAAATTTCCTTTTAAAAAGCTCAACTCACTCCTCAGAGTCAACGTCCACGTCCGGTTCATACGGCAACTCATCAATCAGAGGCATCGTCAGGGAGTGGTATCTGATAATGGGACCCTGGTATGCCTGCTTCACAACACGGGCCCGCTTCTTCTCCAGTTCAAGCTTCTGATAGTTCTCTAGAAGTGAGATAAACATATATTTTACGACTGAAGCACACAATTCTGGGCAGCAAAAATGTAGGTACTTATTTCATGAGGTAAATCAATTATGTCTGATGTTCCATCCATCTGTTCAAATGAAAATTTTATCATAGTATCCAAAAATCGTGCATTTGTAGCTTTTCCTCTTGCACACACAGTAACAGAATGCTGGATAACATGAAGCAAAAGGAAAGACATAACTTGAAAAATCCACAGAAATTCCAAGTAAAAGCTCACATAATGCTAAGAAGAATAAAGAATTCTTCTACAATCCAAAATATATATATACAGCCGGGCACGATAACCCAAATATGTCAGATATTGACAAATGAGTTTGACAAATCCATAATTTAAGTTAACCAATAAAGAAAAAAATGTCAATATCAATCAGGGCATGGCAATTGTACAAACTATCCGCAACCTCGTGTGCGTGTGCGTGTGCGTGTGCGTGTGTGTGTGTGCACGCATGCACGCTTGTGAATATTGCTTGTACATGCATTCATGTGAAGCGCCTAGAGCTGTGTTCACATGGGAGTGGGCGCTATAGATATGATCTACATTATTGTTATTATTATCATGTCCACATGACATAACTACAACTTAACAAATTCCCACCAGAACTGTGGCCATACCTAAGCTTTTCATGTTCTGAATCTCTGTAACTTTTGCCTCTTCCAGGAGCTCCTCTTGCGTCATGCGCCGGATACTGGCCACATTCTTCTTGGCTGCCATGTCTTTCAGCATCTTGTCCTTCTGAAGGTCCAGTTTTTGTCGGGATAGAGCTGCTTCAGACTTCAAGGCAGTCGAGCGACGCACAGATTTTCTCTCTGCAGTTGAAAAAAATAATGCAAGAAATAACTACATGGATTTTTTTTACATAACTGCAAATGCAGAGACACAGTAACAACCAGATGAAATAGAATATTGAAAGTGGAATGCAGAATGTAGTGTACTTTCTACTTAATTGGAAAAATATTGAAAAAAAAAACAACCCACAAAAAACCCTCTCTAGCTTTATTATTCACTTTTTTAGTTATAAACCTTCCTGGAATCTTTATAAGGAATGATGCTAAGCTAACAAACATAGAAAACGATGTGAAATACAAAAAGATCTTCATATGTTTCAAATTTAGTCACCAGTTGAACGATTCACTAATTTGAATAGGCATTGTCTGTGTGGGGAGCACACTCCCTGTTGCCTTCTTTTCTATACTCGTTTTATTGGCACTTGTCTGCATTTGCATCAGGACAAGCCCAGTTAACCACATTTTTACTTCATTTTTTTAAAGCAAAATTTTTTTTTTAATCTCCACAAGTAACCATGTTTTTCTTTCGCGCTTTGAGTAAGAGTTTTCCAAAATCTCCAAAAGTTAATCCTATTTTTTTAAATTTTTTTTTAGTACGAATTTTCCAGAATCTCCAGAAGTTGTCACAAATATCGTGGATTCAAAGTAAGGGTTGAGACACATTCACAAAGTACATATAAACAAAAGGATCTAGCAAACCTGGAGAAACATAAATCTGTACAGTGGAAGGAACTTCTTTGGGCTTTTCCTTCTTTGCCTTCTTTACAGGAGGCTTCTTCTCTGGTGCTTTGTCTCCTTTAGGATCCTTCATCCAACAACAAAAATGCACAAATGGTCACAAAAATAGGAGATGTTAAACATATATATAAACAAAATTCTGTTGGCACAAACATCTCCATCACATTTTAGAAATAACCACACATTATTTAGACCTTAAAATGTACACAAAAGTAGCTCTCAGTATTCTTAAGAACACAGCCAGATGGTCATGATTTTGAATTTAAGAGTTTATCATATAGTAGGCTTGTATCACTTTCTACAAAAGACTCCAGAATTGAGCAAATGGTTTCCTATTTTTAAAAAAAAATTTTTTTTTTTAAATGTAAGCATCCCTTGTTCAGTACTGGTTCAAAAGGCACTGATAAAAGCAAACGGCATTCCCCAAAGCCTACCTGACTTATTGCAGTCTATGTATAAAATACTCCAGAATTGAGCCACTGAGCTCCTCAAAATTACAAAGTCATATCTGCTCAGTATCTAGTTTTGGGGAATTTGATGTCAAATTTTAAAAGTTTCAAATCATGTCAAGCTTTTTGGAATACAATTCTTGGAATACCTCGATAACGACTCGCAATATTCTTACGATTTTGACTGAGCAGACAGAGCATTTGTTTTCTGACCTCACGGTATCAGTAACTCAAAACGTTTCCAATTCCACTTTTTGCAGGACAAGATAAGCACATTCAGACAAATCAGGGGTATTATTGGGTCTTTTTTCTTCTGTCATAAAAGGGGTTTGAACAAACCAAAACAGATCTGAAACCCGAGTTGTTGTTTTTCTTTTTTCACTAGTTATTCAGAAGAATTTTTATTCTCATTTTTTTAAACAAAGCTTTTGCCTAAATAGAGCTAAATGGTCCATCATAAACTATAAAGGAAAGAGACACATACACACACACATCCATAGACCATACACATATTATTATAATGATTATAATAGCAACAAAAATAATAATAATAATATACATCTCAGAACCTGGTCAGTATAAGACAGAAAAACCGGGTTCATAAGCAGATTTCAATGAGCACAATTTTGCCCCTACCAAATAGCTTCCCTTGTTCATTCTAAGATTGAATTATGATCTGTTGGCAATACTGACACCCAAGGAAAGATAGAGAGGTTTTCTTTCATTTAAAAAATCAAATATAATGTATGTGTTCACGCCTAAGTGGTCTGCGTTGTCTTGAGGAAGGTGAAAATCTGAGGTTTGAGAGGGAAGCTTTACAACCCATTATTGTCACAACGATTTTATTGCATGTTAAAACTATCAATCAACATCAGTCCCAATGCTTCTTACGTGGTGAGAAAGAATGTCCATGAATGGGCGATCTTTTATAAGACATTCCGACTCTGTGACTATGAGAGAGGAACAAGTGATTGGATCAATAGAAAACCCCTTCCACCGACTGACCTGCTCTGCTGAGCTCATATGCTTGCCTAAAAATAGTTTCTGTGAAAGTGAACATTTGGTGTGTAGATTTCATTGCATACGTATGTCGATGCTGGCTCCATGTAAGAATATGATTAAATAGAAGAAAGCATAACGAGAAAAACTGGTCTTGTTGAGGGGAAACAGGCAAAAACTACAGAATCATAAAGTGTAATATTTCTAAAATTTACCATGAACAGTATCCTTACTTCTTCTCTTTCCCAATAATAAGGACAATATATTTACTGATAAAGACATTTGCAACCAAAAGAGGTAATGCAGGTCCACTTGACAAGTAACAAAGGATGTACTTTAAAGACAACAACCAAAAAGTTAATTTTAAAAATATAATAGTAAACCTTGTAAGCTTTTGTAACGACTCCTTTTCTCTTCCTCTTTGGCTTGTCATCACCATCATCATCACTTTTGACCTCATCATTTTCATCTATGCTGAAGTCAGAGTCAATGACATCATCTGAGTCAGACTGTGAGGAATTATAGTCTCTGTCCTCCTCTTCCTGTTTTGTAAAGAGAAAGTACAAACAAAGGATTAGTATTCAAATATGAAAGCTTGCAACTGATGTGAAATTGTAAAACACAATGTGAAAATGTGAAGAAGCAGTTAACCAACTTTAAATAGAAACAACCAATCAGCAGTGGATGTCTGGGGATACACACTTGCATTTTACAGACAAGCACAAAATACTCATAATACTGTCGAAATTGTCTGAGACAGCCACCCATTGTCTTGGAGAACAATGGCCACCTTAGACATATCTATTATTAGATGGATGTCTTACATAGTGTCATTATAATGTAAAATACACGCAAGGGGGAAAACGGGAAATGACTGTTTGTACAAATGACTGTCTTATAGGTGGCCAATTGAGCAGGTTCATTTTTTCATTATAGTAGAGGGTTTTACGGCGCTCGCAACTGCATAAGGTCATATGAGTGCCAAGGGGCGGGTGTCAACAGAGAAGTCTTTCCAGGGAATCAGACTTATTTTGCTCACCTCTCTAGCTTCAACAGCACAAGGTCTGCTTCGACTATCAAGGCACCCCGGAAATAGCAGGTCACAAGAGAGTGACAAATATACAAAAGAAGTAGAGGAAAAAGGACAATAGTAAGGATTAGGAAAGAAAAAGCAGCAGTTCCCTGTTGTAGATCAGGCACAGTTATGAGCTTGACACGAGTCAGCCCATTTACAATTCTACTATGCATGAACGAGAAATGTCCCCCCTTTGGGAATGGCCTAAAGACACTTCAGTCAGTGGCACTGCCCCAGGGGATGAGCAGGTTCGATGGCATTTACTTTATAAAGTCTGTGGACCCATGACATGTTTGTGTGAGAAGAACAGGATGACAAACTGATCCTGACACAACAAATTAGATTTTCTCACATAGAGCTATACTGCAAAGTGATTGAGAGCAAAACTTGTAGAGCTGCGAAGTACCATGCCCACGCGAAATATGTCAAGCCGCACACACAAATTATTGTTGACTTGAACGGTCATGCAAGAGTCAGTATACAGAGCTTGTAAATACTTGTGAATCCAACATAACTCAGACAGATAAAGATACACTCCCAAATACATGGATGTCTGTAACATACTAAGAAAAAGTTGTTGTTGTTTTTTATATTGTAAATCTTCCGGAAAGAACCCAACTTATGAATCACTATTGCGGTATGTTTTCCCCCTTAAAACGAAATTATATATTTTCTCAAGCTGTTCATAAAGATACAATTTATATAATAACATACTATAGACAGTTCTGTATCTCATTATCCAAGGAAAACAAAAAATAAAAACATTTCTCTAGCAAAATATTAGAGAGGCACTGGTTTTCTTTTCATGGTCAAAGAATACAAATATAAACTGGAATTATACCTCATCGAAACCCCCATAAGTAGTCTTGTAAAACTCGTCCTCGTCCTCTGCCTCCAACAACTTTGACATCTTGTTGCCAGCTGTGGCACGTTTTTCCCTCTGTGAGGCCAACATGGTTCTTGTTAACGTACACTGTGAACAAAGCAAAGCATTAGGGACATTATCAGTGTACAGCCGAATAGTCGATGAGAAAAGTTGTCAATTTAGATGGATGTCTTTGGCAGTGTCTTTATGTGGTGATTGACTTGAACGAGCGGTTGTTACAGCAAGTTTGATTAATAAAAAAGTATTGGATTTATGTTTAGGGAGTGTCTACGTACACAGTAACCGGGCAAGTATTCTCAGTCTACGTACACAGTAACCGGAAGGTCAACCCTCATTCTACACAGAAGTATCGTATTGTGCGACTCGCTGTGTTGTGTGTGCACTGTGCGAACTCAAACTCTGACATTCTCCAATAGTGTATTGTATTGTGTGAGGCCACGTTGTTTGACAATGGCCATTTCAGCGGCCTTTTTTTCTCTATCCAAGTTGATAGTCATAGACAACTTGTGTAGATCTAGATGCACGACAACTCCATCTGACCCCATGGTCAAGGTCAAGGTCAAAGATGACCTTCAAAGCTTCAGGATTAAAATACATGCGTTGTCAGTAAGGCACCTTTTGGTTTCGTCTCAAATACAAATACTTTAGGTACTGCAGACTAAAAATTTATTAAAAACTCAGGCCTTTTTTTTTTGCAGTAAAGTTTGTCAGGCTAGCTATCATTATTAAATACCGTTTTTTAAATATGGCTAGCCATCATTATTAAATACGGCTAGCCCAGCCGTCTAGCCGTCATTAAGTATGGCTAGCCTGCCAGTCTAGCCGTACTTAAGTACCGGTAGCCTCTTCGAATCATGAATTCCTAAGGTTGTCGAGAAACAAATCATTAAAAGCAACAGCAAACAAGATTCGATGAACAGATGGGCCTTGGGAAAGACAGGCAGAGCAGTTTTCAAACATATGACTACGACAAAACGAAATGACAATATCAACCACCTACAGAGAAAGAAACAGACCACGATCTTCCGCCTAAGAAAAGAACATATTATACAGCTCAACTTTCACTTGAACAGAATAAAACCAGAACTTCTCCCAATGTGCCCTTTGTGTGACTATGCATATGAGATAGTGGAACATCACCTTATCCATTGTACAGCCTTAAATGACATCAGAGCTACACTCCTCCCTCCGAGACCTAACTTTGACAACACACTCTACAGAACATTACAGCAACTGCAGCAAACCTGCACTTTTCACTATCACTACATGGCATTGGACAGAAGGGCGAGAGCCCAGACGTTGCAGGATCGATAACAACAACAACAACAAGGTTGTCGAGACGTCTATAGGCAAAAGTTGTAGCTTTCTAATCATAATGTGTTAGGAACATATGAATAAGTTCTAACCCCCTCTCTTAATTAAGTTGATAAGTCATAAAAAGAGTAGTTACACATTCCGGGGTTCGAAATGAAATAGTACAGATCTAGGTCAATTTCCGAATGTATTGGCATTGCACTCAAATTCTTCTTTTTACCTGCACAATGGTATTCAAAATTATAAACTTATTTTTATCAGGTAATATCATTTTGCATATATTCAAGCTCATTTGAAAGATTTTGTACAGTAAAATGGAAGTCTTGTTTCCTGGCTATCCTTTCGAGCTCCTCATGTCTAAGAGGGTCAATTTGTTCTCTACTAATTTCATTTGACGCCTAAGCCTACGCTTCGGGCTTCGTGTAGAACCAACACAGGCGATTCTAAAAGTAGGCCACAAACGCACACAAACTCAAGCAGAAATTCTTTTTATATCTGCGAACATAAATCAGGGGGACAGAGGTGAGGGACAGAGAGAGCCCCCACACACACACAGACAGACAGAGAGGCATGCGTAGGCTAAGCAGAAGTTCACGAACGCAGAACACTGAGCACAAGGCACACATAGGTTAGATCTACTCTCCAATGCAAAAGAGCTCCAACTTACACGGTGGCTGGCATCAATTGCCACCGCATCACTCGGTGGCAATTGACACTACATTTTTACTTTCACTCCCGAACATAGATGCACTGCTTTGGGGGTCAAACTACAGTACTACACTGTTTACTGTAGACCACACATAAAGCCACTAAAATTGTCGCAAATCCATTATTTTCAAGAAAATTTCAAACCTAACTGTAAAATATCAAATTACGGGTTAAAACAGAGGGCTGTAACCCCCCAGATTTTCTGGCGCTCCTGTACAATTGCGGTCCCGTTTGGGGATGGAAGTGACTATTCTCACCCGGGGTGAGAATAGAAATACGATCGACCTCTCACCCCGGGTGAGACTTGCCACCGTAGGCTATTCTCCCCCGGTGTGAAACAAGACCTGTTTTTCCTAATTTCGGAATACTCTCTATCGATGTGGATGATCAAATGGATAAAGGCAAAGAAAAGATTACGTTATAGCACAAAAGTAAGCTAATTTGATCGTCCACAAAGATGCTATGGCTATTTCACTTTTCGAATCGAGCCGAACTACGGGGTCGCCATTTTGTTTTGCCCGGAAGTTCTCGCAAGATCTACTCCTCCCCTCTTCTCTCTCTCTTGTCTCTTTCTGAATACTGTCTATCGGTGTGGACGATCAAATTGACCAAAACAAAGTAAAAAAATGATGTTAAAACACGTAAAAGTAAATTAATTTGGTCGTCTACAAAGATGCTACGGCTATTTAACTTTTCAAATCGAGCCGAACTACGCGGGTCGCCATTTTGTTTTGCCCGGAAGTTCTCGCGCTATTCCTCTCTCTCTCTCCCTCTCTCCACTGCCCACAGACAAAATTGTACGCTTTTAGTAGGCTAACAGTAGTAATGGAATGTTTGTTCACGGCACAGAATTCTACAATTTTTCTGTTTTCACAGTGTAGAATTCTGTGGTTTAGGATGAACGCAAAATTGGTTAGCTTAGATCTAGATCTAGATCTAGGCTATAAATAACAGTGAATGGACACCGGGTGAGAATAGCCAAAAGACTTGCCTGCGCTATTCTCACCCGAGGTGAGAATAGAGTCCGAATATGAAAAAATGTTATTCGGACACGGGTCTGGGAAAAAAGGAAGTGTCTTCGTTCTATAGATCTAACGTTCAGTGCTTCCAATTTTCCGCCATTTTTTAGTTTCCCCCACACCTTATCTGCCGATCCGATGCCTGCGGCCTCATTGATATGCCCCCCACCCCCCCATGTTTCCCACTTTCTTTGTTGTAGAAAAAGGTAAAATTGAAGATTAGCAGATCACCTGGCACCTGCATGTTATGAGCTGTGCAAAAAAAAAAAGACAGATTCGTTCAAATACACAAGCCTGTGTCATCTCGATTGTTTACCAAGAAAAAGTTGTGTTGCTGTGTAGAGCCGAGCACAGAGCAACTTTTGATTCCATAGACCAGCGCACAATTTATTACGTAGATCTGCGTCAAGACTAGCTTATTATTGTAATAATGATCAGTTGCCGTGGAGGGGGGGGGGGGGGAACTGACGCGTATGCGACGTTCAACGCCCGGACCGATAGTGCCCCCTTCCCCGACACGCACACACAGCCACACGTGTGCAGGCCGCCCATCCGACCCCGACACACGCTAACGAGCCATCTTTAATTGCTTCTGATGACCTCTTGACAAATAAACATTTATTAGAAGCCCTATAACTTTTCAGGCCGGCCTCAAATTCATCATAAGATAAAAACTCGGCTCTAGCACAATTTAACGCCATTTTCATACCTGCCAACATTGCATGGGCCAAAATCTGTAGTTGGACGAAAATTTTTGTCCAAAAATCTGTAGTTGACCGAAAAAATCTGTAGTAGGCTATATTACCTCTTGTCGCATACTTAATTTGGGACCCTTATTAATATTTTATTTTGACCCACATCAAATATGCATGATTGCGTTTGCGACTTCAAACAAATGTAGAAAATGACAAAGAAAAAATGACAAATATGAAAGCTACCAGAGGCATTTACCCTATTAGTAGTTGGTGCAGTTCCTGTCCTATTCATATCTGCACGAACACACACACAAATGAAACCAAAAAACCACAACCCTCCCCCCCAAAAATAAAAAAAAACAGAAGCAAAGATGAAGAAAAGGTGGGCCTTGGATGACTTAGGCCTAGCCTTGGCCTTTTGTCTTTGCAGAGTTTACAAGGAAAGAGTATGACGGACCCCGAGTCCACACAAGGCCTGCACCAACACGCGTTTTGCAGAGAGTTTTCTAGATCTAGAGGTAATCAAAAATTTAGAATACTAAAATTAGCTTCCAAGTTCAGTTTTTGTCCCCTGGCCTGGTGTTGCCTTCACCCCCCCCCCCCCTCCCCCGAGTGTATCTTTTAAAAAAATAATCCTCCCCCATTCCGGAGTCCTATACTACGCAGCGCTCAGACTTTGAATGAACTTTGGTGACCCCTACAAGTGCTGGTGCTCACAATGTGATGGAACGCGCAAGTTCATTGACCGGTCACAATGGCGAACCCGACAAGACCCTTGTACTATAACTTTCTTTTCTTTTCTTTTTTTTTCACAAGTGACAGCACAGGACAAATATTGATTTATTTTCAAGGCGACACAGCGTTTGCCATGCACAGCCTGCATGTTGTTACAATTAATGTTGCGTTATCAACAGCTGTTAGTACCAGCAAATTTCTGGGTGGTAACGAAAGTGAAAGTATATCTTGATTATCCCGATCAAACGTCGGTATCACACCCGCTTGCCACCATAGCCGCCTGTCTGCATGAAGAAACATACTCTCAAGGGAGCCGAATGAATCACAATCGCGACCGGCAAAAATGAACTTTCGGACGTTATCGGATTTGGTTTTCAAATATCTGATAACTTTCTCAAAGTCCCAAGGCCTGGCAGTCACCCTGCTGAATCCCGATGTCGGTGGCTTCATCTCAAAATCGGTGGATCGGTAGTTTGACCCAAAAGTCGGTGATCTACCGATTTTTTCTGTAGGGTTGGCAGGTATACATTTTGCCCGAAGTGATCCCAGTCTCTACCCAGCCTGAGGCAAGTCACCAGTGAGGCAGGACAGGAAGCCGGAGTCACGAGTCACAGGAATTCGGAAGTGATGTCATGCTGGACAAGAATCAGAGTCCGAATAACATTTTTTCATATTCGGACTCGAGTCCGAATAGTCACTTCGGTTAATCGTTTGGGGATACTAGTTTTGACCCCACCGACGATTACTTCTGCTTCTAAACGATTACTTTTTTGCCCATGTCGATATGGAGAGATAGCCTATCAAATCTAATAGCAAAACATCAAATCATGGTCGGATTCAGGGGCGAAAGCCTTTGCCTTTCTGAACAACGCTCCATCTGAACAAACCCTTAGTAAGACGGGCGGGTTTTTATAAATTACATTTTGTCAGTACTTACGTTCTCCCAAAGTAGACTGATCTTCAGTTTTCACACCACAGTGCTAACGACGGTGAAGACTGATTTTGAGTTTAGGAGTTGAAATAATAAGGACGCCAAATCTAAATCTCCCTCTTGGAATAATTTCGTCTTTCGTTTCAATTTAGTCCCGTGATTTCAGTTTTTAGAAACCAGCCAGCTTTGCCTGAGAAGGCAGGCTTTGCCGAAGCTAATATTATATTATTTATAATATATTGAAGATCTGTGGATCATTTTACAGAGTTTGAGTTCTTTATCATATATACATTTATCAAATACAGTGTATTCATCCTAACAAATAACATGTGTAATAATTTGAAATATCAATTTCGGTGTCTAAAATTGAAATAAATCCATGCATAGAGCATCGAGGCATGGTGACTTCGAAATTTACAATAACCACAATTTGACCTTTGACTGTTGACACTGACTGCGAATTTGTTGACCCTTCTTCTTTGAACTTTGACTTTAGCCCAGTAGCCTAGCACATAAGGACACACTCCAGAAGGTTTGTTTTGTCTCTGCAGTCGCTGTGTCACTTGAACGATTGCCAATAGAAGGCCCAGGTATAGGCCAAAATCTTTGTGTCAAATCAGAGTCAACGAAGCCGTGGCATTGTTCCAGATCCGATCCAAACTGGTGATTATAAGCATACGGGTACACGCATCATACCGGAACCAAAACAACCAGTGTTGTGAGTGATGAATAAAGTTTTTCAGACATTGTGCAAACAGCAACTGAATGCAATAAGGCTGGTAACAAAATTTAATGCAGCGACTCTCAATGATCTACGCAACTACTCTTGGTGTTGCAGAAATGGGAATGTAGTTGCCTGTGAAAACTGGCTCAAGATAAGAGGTAAAAAAGAAAAAGAGCGCAAGGTTCTACAGAGTCGCCTGGTCGCTCGATTTACCGTTCCTGTATCCAGTGTAACCGGACCCTTCGCCTTTCATATTGATAGCAGAAGTTTGTGTCTTGGGCGCCCACAACAGGATAAGAGGTGAGGATGACGATAGGACGTCTATTAATTAATCTATATTGTTAGCCTACCTATTTATTTAATTTTATGAAGATCTATAATTGCTGCAGAAGAATCTCTCTCTGTCTCTGTCTCTCTCTCTCTCTCTCTCTCTCTCTCTCTCTCTCTCTCTCTCTCTCTCTTTAATGTGCAACTAGAATCTAGACTGTCATATTAAATTATAAACATGTGTCTGTGTGTGTGTGGCCCCAGTCCAGCTCACTTCTCCTAAATCTGAACCTAAAAATACTGATCGATCGAAAAATATCAGGCGGCGCTTAATTTCTCGATTGGGTCTCCAACCCATCATCCAATTTTTATAGTTTTGTGATTACACTTAAACTTAATGATTTGTGGTATGAACCATGCCATAGATTGTCCAATTTTAATTTTCCAATATTTTATGTGGTGACGAGTCTCTGTAAAGTAAGTTTACCAATGTTGAGAAATACATGTATAGATCTAGTAGGCCTAGATCTATAATCGGGAACCAGTGAACTCGTCACACGGTGAAGCCATCACAGCTGAAAAACGCGTGGCGAGTTCACCGGAAAAAGTATCCAAATAACAGTGAACGGCACTCTTCGGGAGAAGTGGTCCCAACCCGACGCCTTACAAATTTGGGCGCTTTTTCAGTAGTTCCCACCCCGCAATTGTTATTTGCGGGTTTTGGCCCCAAGAGTAGGGGGTTTCAGGGTTGCCCCCCTGGCCTAATAAAAATAAGGTGGGGGGTTTTAGGGGGGGCATGCCCCCCTGAATTTTACCATAATTTGATGTCTTAGCTCGCCGCGGATCAAACGTATAGATCTCGATGTAGATCTAGGCTCAAATAAGGGGGGTGGGAACTATCGAAAAAGCACCCAAATTTGTACGTCTATGTACACAACCGGAAACAAAAACCGAAGTCGAGTAAAAAAAGCTGGCGTAAAAATGGGTTTGTGCCTTTTCTATAAATTTCCAGTTGTCTGTCTTCCTCCTTTTCTGAGTTTTTTTCCCTTCCAATTATTTAATCTGATAGAAGGCCTGACTTTTGCTTCACCCCCTGTCGAAGTTGCCCCTTTTTGCCCAGTCGAATTTGCACCAGCTTTAAGAGTGAAAAGTACACGGAGACTGAGTTTTCTGGAGCTTTTTGATTAAAAATAGAAACAAGTGGAAACCGAGGAAGCACAAATTTTATATTTAGATAGAATCAAATGTGCAACGACACATGGGTCAAATGATACGCAAAAGCCAAGTCTAGGTTGAGGCAGCGTTTACGTTGCCCCGTGGCCAAATTTGCCCCAACCTATGCGACGAGATGACTGACGAGATCACTGGAGGTATGTGACGAGTTCATCGTGTGACGAGTTCACTGGTATCCCTATTACCCACTTATATCAACATCCGATTTATCGACATTTTAACATATCGACATATTTTCCAATTACGAAATTTTTCCTTCAATATCTTCACTAAACAATTTCTCTTTCGACTTTTTTCCGGCCCACTCAGCTTTATCAACATGCTTCCTGGGTACCTGGTGAACCCCTTGAACATAAATGGGGGGGGGGGGGGGGGGGACCACGCTAATGGTCAACGCATTAGTTCTTGAGTTCTTGATTAAGTCTGCATACCCGCCAAATAGTCTTTATCAACACACCAGGCTTTAGTAGGTCATGTAGGGCCTACACAGTGTAGACCCCAACACAGTACAGTGCCTCACAGACGTGAGCGTCTCACGCTCTGGGCATCACCTCCCGATCGCTCATTCCCTTCCCCCATTCCATTCTCAGTCCGTCGCTGGCAAGTGCCGCGGTCTGTGAGTCATTGCCTCGCCTTTCCGTTTTCCCCAGTAAGCGGCTATAAACAGGCCATACAAGGATGCTGCAACAAAGTTTGCTTTGGTGTGTAGTGTGCGCCTCACGCTGCTCTTTCTTTGGTACAGCTGGTTTTATATTTGAAATGCCTTTTACACCCAAGGGTCTCACATAGCTTCTCCCAGTCTAGCCAACCGCACCTACCCGTGGTGATCCCTGTTTGCACTGACGTGGCTCTGGCGAATGGCGAATTGTTGGCGCCAGGAAACCAAACCCCCTTCGCCTGGAGGAGTAAAAACAATAATGGACACAGAGGAAGGCATTATCGTAGAAGTAGAAAGGCAGAAACCTTCAATTAGTTCTTTGCTTCAGTAAACAAAGCCACACCTCATACTGGCCAACATAAAGACTGTCTGGAAAAAACTGAAGGAGAAAGAGCATGCGTCAATCAAGTGCAAGTATCTCTCTCTTTGAAGATGACTTCACCCTCACTTAGCTCAACAGGGCAATGAAGAAACTGAAGCCCCACAAATCCCTAGGACCAGATAAGATCCACAATGAAATGTTTGTCAACCTCAACCACACTGGTAAGAATACTATTCTCCAGCTAATCAACAATGAAAACACCATCCTCAGAGGATGAAGAAATGCCATCATCACCACTATTTTTAAGGAAAGAAAACCTGCTGAAGAAATGAAAAACTGTCGACCCATTTCACACTCTTCATGCATCAGGAAACTAGCAGAGAGGATAGTCAACTGCCGCCTATACTGGTGGCTGGAAACAAACGGTTCCTTGGACAGCAACCAAGCTGGATTTCGTGCGGGCCATCGAACAGATGACCAGCTCTTCAGGCTCAGTCAGAAAGTTAAAGGTCCTTGATGGCTTCCAGAAAGAGAAACATACAGTAGCAGTATTGGTTGATCTCCAGCAGGCTTACAACAGGGTATGGAGAAAAGGCCTGTGGAAGATGACACAGACAGGAATCCACGGGAAACTCTGCAGATGGGTGAAAACCTTCCTTACAGACAGGACAATCCAGACCAGGATGAACAATGGTGTCATCCAAAGCTGTACTGGTGGAGGTCCTACCCCAGGGTTCCTCTCTGAGCTGCATACTCTTCCTTGTTTTCACCAACGACCTGCCTGAGACACCGAAATCGGAAAAGGCCCTATATACAGATGACCTAATCATCTGGCATTCAAGTAAACAAGCTGGCATCAGTGCATGACTTATTAATGAGGACCTAGATAGATTTAACAACTACTGCAGCACGTAGAAACTAAATGCAAATTGTTCCAAGACAATCTACATCGTCTTTACGGAAAGTCACAAGGTCGCAAAGCAAAATCTCACCATCTCACTTGCAGGAACCAAATTCTAAAAAGTTCGAAACCCAACATACCTCGGGATCGAGCTGGACAGACTGTTTTCGTGCAAAAAATCATATCTGGAACCTGAAGACTAAAGCCAACAAGAGACTTAACCTTCTCAGATGGCTGGCTAGCACTTCATGGCGAGCAAACAAGGATGCACTCAGACAGCTATATGTTGGCTATGTACGCTCTGCCGTGGAATATAACTTAAACCTACAGACAATCTGCAGAAAACCAGCTCAGAGGTCTCTTGACAAAATTCAGAATCAAGCTGTACGATTTATCTCAGGAGCTTTTGAGATCCACTCCAACTGCAGTTTTCGAAATTCATATAAACCTGAAACCTTTGGACCTGCTGAGAGAGGCAGCAGTTGTGGAGATGAGTGAGCGCTACAAGAGATTAGACAAAAACCACCTAAACACAAAGATCATTAAACAGAGACGACCAAAGAAACAACACAGCCACCAAATTAGTAGAAAAACATCACCTTCCTTGTAACGGAGAAATGCAGAAACCTTTAAGACCAGAACTCCTCCCAAGAACCAACATCAAGAACGCCACTAGTAGACCTGAAGACCACAGCTCTCAAAACAATTGACTCATACCCTAGTGATTCAATTCATATTTACACTGATAGGTCAGCTTTCAAGGGAACTGTTAATGCGGGCTTTGGAGTAAGAATAGAACATCCTGGCAAGAGGTGTGAAGAACTGTTTGATCCCTGTGGTTCTTCTTGTACAAATTATGAGGCTGAGGTCATCGCCATTTAAGCTGCAATTCTCCACCTGACCAAAATTTTCAATATATACCCAGACAAAATCAAGGATACTGTAATCTTCACAGATGGAAAATTTGTACGTTAAGCTTTGGAAAACATGAATTTTGAAAGCCCAGCTTGCCTCTCTGTGGCTCAAGCAATTAACACCTTCATACAGACCGATGCCGTCAATCTGACTTTACAGTGGATACCTGGCCACAGCAACATCCCAAAAAACGACAGAGCAGACACCCTTGCCAAGAAGGGAGCATCACAAACACTACTAATCTCAAAACCTAGTATCACAACAGACAGTAAAGAACAGTGAACATCATCAAGTGCAACACCAGGGAACAGTGGCTTAATGGATGGGCATTGGGCAAAACTGGAAGAGCTGTATTTACACACATGACTGCTCTCAACTCAAAAGACGCACTTTATTCCCTTTATTAGAAGAGAAACAAGTCATTATCTTTCACCTGCGTACACAACACATCCCCCTGAATTCCTACCATAATAGGATCTGCAAGGATACCCCACCTGATTGCCCGTTGTGTGACTGCCAGGATGAAACAGTACCACACCATCTCTTTACCTGCCCTGCACTTAGCGACCTGCTTGGCACCTATCTACCTACCTCCTCAGATATCGGAAATACTTTATACAGCGACAATACACAGCTGATAAAAATCTGTAAATTCTTTGCCATATCGACAGGCCGAAGGGCTAGAACCCAGATGTCTGCTGGATCGGAAAAGTAAAGTAAAGTAGATATGAAGAGGTGTAAGTCCCTAAATTCACTAAAATTCTTAGTCAATGATTTAAATTGTTTGTACTTTGTTTCCTTTGCAGACTTCAAGACAGTGGTGTTGTTACAGAGGAGTGGAACTTATCAGAAAATATGGCTGGATATATTGTTGGACATGACAAAAGCAATAAAATGTTCTATATCACACTTCAAGGTAAAGCTAGTAGGTCTGCCTTCAGTTCCTTCTATATTAATAACTTGTATTTAATTTATGAAGGAAAATAACCGTATTAATTATTATTAATTATTATATGAGGCAGTGGGGTGATATCAGGCGCTCGTCAAAATAATGAAAGTGAAGAAACAGGCATTTTTGCTCAGGTTTGGGGATTTTTTATTATCGAATTTTTGTTTTTTTAGCTCAACACCTTCCAAGTCCTTTAAAGAACACATTTCTGTGTGGATTGTATTGAAAAACGTCAATAACAATTAGAGGTATAAAAAGTGTAAATTTTCTGTTTCCTCTGACTCTCAAGCTAAGGAAATTATTACTGAACCTTGGCAGCCATTTTCTCACTAATTTTACCTCTTTCAATTGCAAATGATATCTCGACTTCTATTCAAGATAACTGGATATTTTTTTCAACGAAAGCAAGACAATTGGAAAAGTTTTATGATGATACCAATAACTCCACACTCCCAAAAATTGACGAGCGCCTGATTCCATCACGTTGTGACACATATATTATAATAATAAAGTAATGTTATTTTCATTGTGCAGTTTTTGCCAAACTATACTATGCTGTGTTTACTAATGTGCTAACTTCTTGGATGTGTTCAAAACTGAAGAAATTCTGGTGCTTTTAGATTATGATATAACAGGTACAGTACCTGACATTTATAATGGAAAGTGATAAAAATCAGTTGTAATGTGGCTTAGGCGTTAAGAGTCCACAGGTGACTACACATGAGAAAAGGAGGATCCTCTGCTCTGAAGAAGAATAAGAAGATAGTATAATGTGAAGAAAGGTGTGCCACCCATCAACCTTAATAAATGAAAAGTTTTCAATTTTATTTTTCGAGTTAAGTTATACAATGATGTAACATACAATGCTATGATACTAAGGATAGCCTTTTAATCATTTTAAAATGATAAAGAATTTATGTCAAATAACACTGAAATTGCAGTACTAAGGCTAAGACCAAGGGGGGAATTGGACAAACATCCTCTTTGAATTTGTTGAGATAGATGAAAAGTTTTGGTTATGACAGGATTTTTAGCATTTTTTATGAATTTGGTGTCTGCGTTTGCAGATTGGTTGGTGCAGAGGGGTGAGACAGATAGAAAGACCATGCTGAAACCTGCGATCAGCATTTTCATTTTCATGGGGGGTTTTTCTGTTTGTTTTTCCTCAGCAAAACCTGAGAATGGAGAGACAGCATTGGCAAAGCTGGAATACGACTATGTGAGACCGAATCTGGTGGATTTGTATCACACCGAGGTACCCCCTGAGTTCCAGGGTCAGGGAATTGCGAAGATTTTGGCACAAGTAAGTTCATCTCCTGAAACACCCACTATCGTAACCGACATATCACCCGAAATTGGGTCTATAATACAACCCGATTACAATTTTTACATTCTGAATTCTGTCGAAATCTAGATTCGATCTTTAATAGTCACCGAGATACACTTGGTTCGTGAGGTATCGTATGCCCCAGCCAATACAGCAATATTTCAGAAAAAGAGGAATGCGTTGTGAGGCAGTGATGTAGTATCTTTGTAATGAGGTTTAGATAATAACATATAACAATATTTAAAGGTAAATGAACAAATATTGTGAAAATTAAAGTTTAATTAGGCTCACTTATTTCGAATAATGCGCAAATTCGGTACCCCCCGAAACTGAGATTAAAGGCTCTTGGGATGGTGGGAGGTACAAGCGCTGCTGAAAATATACGCACTTGGAGCTGGAAGGGTTGAATCAACATTTTTCAGTAAAATTCACGCAGAAATGTGTTTTTAAATGGACCTTAAAGGTGTTTAGTCAAAAAACAAAAATTTGATAAAAATTGCCAAATAGACACATAGAAATTCCAGTGTCTTCGATTTCATTGTTTTGATGAGCGCCTGATTTCACCATGATGCCTCACATATATGTATCATAGAATAAGAAAAAAGCAAAATTCCTCATTAGCGCCTTCTCTGGTACCATCAGAATGAAAGAATTTCCATAGATGCGCTAAAAGTAATAGTGTGTGTTTCCACATTTTAGTCAAATTTGAGAGCTGAAAAACTATTTGCTATAAATGTGTGTGCTGGACTGTTGCAATATTATGGTATTACAGTTACAGTGAAGTCTGCTTAATCCAAAAACTGCGGGACTGCTGGATTTTCTTCAGTTCAGCCAAGGTTTCGGCTTAGAGGAGTTGCTCAACAAACGGAAGAAAAAGAATCGGGGATATTATTTTTGTTCGGTTTGTGGCTGTTTTCAGATTAACCATGTTTGTATTTTAAAGTATAATGATATTGTAAGTGATGCACTTTTTTGTCATGCTGCATGACTCTGTCATCAGCTGCCCATTGCTTGCTGCACAGAAGGAAAATAATGAAGATGCTTGCATAGATAATAATAGATAGCATTTGTATAGTGCAAATCCCCGCTCAACAGTAAGCTCGATGCGCTTCACAATCTATACTATTACCCCAGAAGACCTGAGAGCATTCTGAAACAAACTCAACTTCCTGGGAAGCAAACAGTTCAAGCAGCCATTTATAGGCGCTAAAACACTAACGTACTGACAAGATCTTTCACTGTCAATGGCCGGGTACCCATTTCCACCTAGGTGAAGTGAGGAAAATTCGTGTAAAGTGCCTTTCTCAAGGACACAACGTCGGGCCCACGGCTCGAACCCCTGACCCCATAACGTCACGATTACGAGTCCAGTATCCTAACCACTAGGCCACCGACGCCACAAGATGAGCTCGAACCATTAGTCTTTCTTTGATGTAAAGGCTACTCTCTAGTGTCAGTAATGGGGGTTTTTTAACTATAATTACATGGTTAGGAACAATTCAAGTGTCAAGCTGGCTGAATAATTTGAACTATTATAATGTATATTATAACTATAATAATACAGTCAGCTTCAACTGAAATCTGTGGGACTGCCAGTATTTTCTTCAATTTTGACAGGGTTGTTTTTTTTCCAGTTTAGAGAGGGTTGCTTAAATAGAACAAAAAATGGGGGGGGGGTTATTTTCTTTTGACCAGTTTTCTGCTGTTGTCAGATTCACCATCATGTTTGGATTAAGAGGACTCTCAACAAATTTGGGTTTATGACTGTTGAAATGAATCCTTCCACTTCTGTAAGAACATGTAATCATGTGTTATTGTTATATCATGTAATAATACTGTTATCGTTTCAGACTGCTTTTGATCACTTCTGTGAGCAAGAAATTCGCTTTCGACCAACGTGTACCTATCTCCAGAAATATTTGCGAACCAATCCAGTGCCAAGGTATATGGACTTCATGGACAAAACATCAACGTAGACGGCTTTTACCCTTGTCCATCTAGTATGTTCTGGATGTTTGCAGTGGAAATAGGGAAAAGCAACAGTATGATGCTTTGACTTTGTGTGTTTTAATGAAATCAGAAGTCACCATGTAAACAGAATTGTGGTCATGTGATCATCATTCCCTACCACCGGTAGGCCTACTACTATAGCTCGACATCAGTACTGCTATTTATATTATTATACTGCTAGTAGTAGTAGTAGCATTACATTCTTTTTTATGTCATGTGTTGTAGCATGAGCTCTACTACTACTACAAGTAGTCAATTCCTGTACGTTACCCCCCGTGGCAGTGCCACTGACTGTAGTGTCTTTAGGCCATTCCCAAAGGGGGGACATTTTTCGTTCCAGCATAGTAGAATTGTAAATGGGCTGACTCATGTCACGCTCATAACTGTGCCTGAGCTACAACAGAGAACTGCTGCTTTTTCTTTCCTAATCCTTACTATTGTCATTTTCCTCTATTTCTTTTGTATGTTTGTCACTCTCTTGTGACCTATTTCCGGGGTGCTTTGATAGTCGAAGCAAACCTTGTGCTATTGAAGTTGAAGCTAGAGAGGTGAGCAGGCTAAGTCTGATTCCCTGTAAAGACTTCTCTGTTGACACCCACCCCTTGGCGTTCATATGACCTTATGCAGTTGCGAGCGCCGTAAAACCCTCTACTATAAAAAAAATTTTAATTCCTGTACGTTACCCAAGTAAACTATGCATTCACGTCAATGTGTTTTTCAGCACGAATTCACCAACAATGGGCAAGTACTAGAATGTAGTACAGTAATCTCCGAAAAATACCACACTGAAGAAAAATGCACAATTGGCCAGTAAAGCATTCTGGCTGCACAGAATCAAATTAATTATTTGTCCTACAATATAACACGGTCAGCTCCAACTCATCGGGACCGGCCTCAATAGTTCGAGGCGGCCTCAGTTTTTGGCATTTATTGGTTCGCCAGTCTCGGCAGCAATTTTTGCATTTTTGGACCAAAATATAACCACAGCCAGGGAATAAAATACCAAGAAAAAAAAGGGGGGGGGGAATCGAGGGGAAAAAAAGAAACCGTACCTCTTAACCCCCTTGTTGCCTTATGATGTACCTAAATTTTAGCTTTGTGCAGTACCGTGTCATGTCACCAAAGTAGGCCAAATTTGCTGCTCCTGGTTGCCTATATGACGTTGCATGTACGGCACGCTAATAACCTGGCTGTAATTCTTCTGTTTGGAGTTTTAGCCACAAGCGCGGCGTAGATTTGAATTGTGGAATAAAAGACGCGCATATCGGTACCACATTTACTATACTAGTATTAATAGTATTACTTTACTGCTAGGCTTGCAAGCGATCGATAAACACAGATCTAGGCTTGCGAGCGGCCTCATGGTCTCGTAAAACGTAAACATCTAAATGACTTTAGAAAGGCAAATAAATTGACTTTTTGACTTAGATTTGCAGTTTATTCGAAATAAGAAGTAAGATGGGAGGAAATAAGGAATAAGATGAGAGGAAATAAGGAGTAAGATGGGAGGAAATAAGGAATAAGATGGGAGGAAATAAGGAGTAAGATGGGAGGAAATAAGGAATAAGATGGGAGGAAATAAGGAATAAGATGGGAGGAAATAAGGAGTAAGATGGGATGAAATAAGGAGTAAGATGGGAGGAAATAAGGAGTAAGATGGGAGGAAATAAGGAGTAAGATGGGAGGGAATAAGATAAGTAAGAAAAGGGAAACAATCGGAGACCTGGCATCCGAAGTATGTCACGAGAAAGATAGATCTAGATGTGCGTCCATTAACACACTGAGACGTTAGGCTGCTGTCCTGAGAAACGCGCGAAGCTAATAATCAGTGCTGACAGCAGGCATGCATACCCCCTGGCAACGAAAGGGTTAACTTTTAGAAAGAAAGTTTATTTCACTTCTGCTTCACTTTGTCTCTTTCTCACTTGTTGAGACCATGTTGATTTGTTATTTTCATGTGAAGAATATAAGTACATAACATGTTATATTGCTGTTTCTCCTTTATTGTTCCCTCTTTGTGGGATTTTAATTTGTTGGTGTATTGATTTTTTTTTTGTCTTGTTATTGTTCTGATGTGGTGTATTTCTATTTTTTGGTGTTTTTTTAGCGTAATGTCATTTAATTTGATATTGTTCCTACCTTCTTTTTTTTTCTATAATAAATGTGCTATGTTATTGTTAGAGCATGTCTCCACTAAAAGCAAATACTGACACTTGTAGGCCCCTTGTGTGTGGTTCCATAATTTACATCATGTATGAAATATCCTCTAAAGGATAGATATAGAAGTAGAAATAGGACTAAGAAAGTGACGTTGGCTGGGGACACACCTTCAGAAAGCCCAGCGGAAACATCACAAGACAGTCACTGCAATGAAACCCACAGGGAGCACGAGGCAGGGGTAGGCCGCGAGAGATATATGGAGGAGATGTGTGGAAAGGGACATGAGAGAGATGAAGCTCACTTGGAACGAGCTAGGAAGGATGGCCGAGGATAGAGATAAATGGAAGGAGCTTGTATGTGGCCTATACCCTGCCATGCCAGGGGTGAAAGACATTGATGATTGATAATGAAATATCCCATACTTTTTCTTGAATTACACACAGTTAAAAAACAGCCAATCTTCGGATATAGGTGAACACAACCTCTTATCTTAATGTTGTGGTTTCTGCTTATGTGTTGTTCTAATTTTGATTTCATTCTGTTGTGAAACTTTTATTTTTCATGTTTTTACACCGTGTACTGTAGCTACAAAATGTAACAAATTATATTCTGGATGCTTAAAATAGAGCACACGAAATTCTGGTGCTTTAGATTAAAGTTATCTCTATTGACATATATTGCTATTATATTATATATATACCTCGTCACAGAGAGTTGAAAACTTGAAAATGAATGGCAACTTTTGCCACTTTTTGTGGCGATTTTGGACCAAAAAATGTCAGCAAATGCAGATGCTGCTAGCTAATACTAATACTATACACTGTGGGAGCGGGGTTAAATTAGATCAGAATTAATTTGAGGATCTCCCTCAAAAAAAACAAAACAAAAAACATCTTCCATGGCAGTTAAAATAGTCTCTGTTAATGAACACCTGTCTAAAAAAAGTTTTATCCCGGTACATTGTTGTAGTAGTGTAGCCTATACACTATACTTTTTAGCTAAGACTAAGACGCCATGGGCATTTGGAATACACCACCATGCAGAACTTAAATTTTGCACAGGTTTAAAATTCTGCTTTTGTTACTGTTGTTGCTATTGATATTAATATTACTGGTATGTCACTGTTGGACTTTTCATGTAAATCTTTATACTAATACAGTGAAACTCGGATTCAACCATTTCAGCGGGCATGACCTAAAATCTCGTTGAATTAAGGTGTTCGTTAAAGCACACATGAGGTTTTGTGTAGATAATTAGAGGCTCTGAGCAAGTAATGTATAAAGAGAGAATAAACGAGTGGGGCCTGAAATGCCTGCATATTATGAGCTCACGGCGTCACTTTTCGCCCAATTCTGTTACCTTTAGTTAGCATGACTCAGCAGCCCGCCGGAGCTCACCGCTGTCTGTTCAGAAGTTCGCATTTTTGTCTACGTTTGAAACGATATAACTTCTTCCCCATTACACACAGCAAACTATTACACGGATGTACTAAAAAGTAAAAGCTCAATGTATTGCGATTTATTCTGCATTTGAATGGTTAATTTCTGTGCCTTAGTTTTTTGTTCTAGACAAGTGTTTGTAGAGTACCCAATTTGTTCTATTTTAGTTATAATTATGAATAAATGACTTTATTTAAAAACGGCACGACAGATCTCTCCAAAATCTGTGTTAAAACTGACTACGAATATCATGTCTTTTACCGTGAGAACTCTTAAATCAGCGCAAGTTGTAATAGTCAGGTAATAAGAGAAGAAAGATGAACATCTGCATTTTTAAACTAAAGACACTCAGTGTTAGCTCTTGGTCTACCATTAAACAAGAGAAAGTTTCTCTGCGTTTGTTCATGAATCATGCTGTGTCTGTACTCTATGGCAGCCTGCATACAAAAACTAAGAAAGATAATATATGCCATTTTTTTTAAAACACAAAATTGTGTTAACTCACTTCAGACGGGTCACACAACAGTTGCGTGACCCCCGCCATGACGCTCGCGACGGGTCTCACAAGCCCTGCGTGACCAACTTTGGAATTTTTTTTTCGCTCTACAAATCACGCACGGATCGCGAGACCCGCCTCGTACCCTTGTTTGGCCAAGCGTTTCGTATCTCTGGGGCCGGTAGTTTTTAAGTTATTGAAGGTGAAGGACAGTGACCCCAACTGGGGTTGAACAGACCGGAACTCGCGCTTTGTTTTTTTCTATACAGCTCATAGTGATCCGACAGTCGCGTCGTAGTGACGGTCGAAGAAGTCGCATGAACAAGAATCACATAATTTCGCCGTTTTCTATACTTCTGTGCGTTTTATTAGTTCTAGTGTCTCAGAATATGATGTGTCTAATAGTTAGGATCCTGGATATGTACCCGAACATGGCCCGAGTCGTAGTTCTAGGGCTAGATCTAGCACTAGTACCGGTGTTGTTTTTCGCGCAACGAAATCACAACGTCGTGACGTACATCTGTCTCATGTAATTCAGTGTATGGGTCTGAATCAATTCACAGACCAGCTTTTATATTTCCACCAAACACTTGCACATGTATACAAATCAAACCAGAACACTTTGAACTTTTATTTTTGTTGTTGCAGTGAATTTCATTTTACTTGTCACGTCTCTGGAAATTTTTCGAAAATCAAATTCATGCCAATTTTTAAAAAATCATACAAATTAAAGTATTAGACTTAGACACCTTTAGTTTTTTGTATTAGATTAAGCTTGAATGTTACTTTACTGTGTCAAAAAATGATTACAATAGGGTAATTCTGAGAGTTGTGGTGATTTATTGAAATACCCCCCAAAACGCCAGTCTTCAACGCTTGTGACTGGTGAAAGGGCCCAGTCGCAAGTGAGTTAATACATGGGTAGAGATGCACTTCTTGTATGGAATAAAAATAATGGCAGCTAACACAATTATTCTTAGTTTTTGTGTCAGACATCTGCGCGGATACTTAATGAATGTAAAGAAAATCAGAACTTTGTTAGTTATTGCAAATGGCCATAGCAATGAAAATAAATATGCTGGAAAAGTCTGGTGCTGATTCAGTGTCACTGGAAAGCTAGAAATTATTCTGATATATTATAACACAATTACAAGAAGTCATCCCTGTTATTCAGTCAACTTACAAAACCTAGACTTTGCATTTTTAAGAAAAATAAGAGATTTATGGAGTGTAACAGATACTGTTTGTGTATTACATTGTACATATGTTATTCTGGCTCTAAAATCAGTTTGTACCATCAGATGCAATGGATGGTTTCCGGGAATAGATAAAAGTTCGTTATGGAAGAAAAATGAGCGAAGCCACGTCTGCGGGGGCTGTTCACCCTGGGGATTTAAGTGTTCGTTGAATCCGGGTTATTTTGTATTGATTTTTAAAGAAAAAAACCGGGAAATCCATCTCCTTTTGTTGAATCCGCGTTCCATTGTACTACTATTAGTAACTATGTAGTATAAAGGAGTACTGCAAGTCGTATATCAAAGGTGCTTGTGGATGCTTTCAATTATATTATGTAAATTTGAATTTTTAAAAAGATTTTTATTGTGACAATAGTGATATAATTTATAATATGATTTACTTGGAAGTACAGATAAAATATGTTAATATTAATTATTAATGAATATTAAATAAGATCTTCTCTTCAGTGATTTTGTGATGTGTAAGGCCGCCAGCCTTTGAAATGGAATAAACAAGGAAACTGAAAAATATGCCCTGCAAAAGTTACGGGCTCAAATATAAATGGGAGAAATATTTTTCTCATCCTTTCTGAAATATTTACTACCACTTCTGTGTCCCCATCCCAGGAGGCCAGGTGCTCCGCTTTCAATCATAAAGACCAGCATATCGACTACCAAGTGTAAGACTCCATTTAAAAAGTGATGATGAGCTAGTCTTTATATACTGGGTACTGAACATTTGATATGTCTGGTAGGGTGTAAGCGTTCTATAAATTAGTAAGTAATGTTTTTAAATATAGAACATATATACATGACAACACCTCCCCAACACCGTTTGATGCTATACATACACTGTCTCAACACTTTTTTTTTGTGCTCTTCAGCATAGGCGCCTACAAGACCTTTGATGATATGATACATGTATGAAGAATACAATTACAATGTTGTTTATTGCAGATTCGCCAACTTTTTCAAAACCTTATTAGTTAATATATAAGGTATGCCCAGCATTTTAACGTCGGATTACATAACAATGGACAAAATTACACCAAGTGCAACTGGTTTGATGTAGTGTAATGAATGTTCTCTCAAATTACTGATTGCAGAAAGCATGACTGTCCCGTGACTGTCCCATGACCGTCCCGGGAAGTGTGAGACAGCTCGCAAGCCTGTAATTGTAAAGGGTTCAGGTTTCAAAATATGTTATTATTATTACTATTTACTGTGTCCTTTTGTTGTGAAATAAAAATAAAGAATCATTGGAAAAAAACTTGGCTGTCCGAAAATTGGTATTGGTCTAGTTCTGTGAAAACCGAGAACCCACAGAAAATTATTAATAGCCTTACTTTCGTAGAGTTGTCCATGTTCATGGTATCTGTGCCTGACTTTACCTAATATGTATTGCCAAATCTGATTGTTCGTTTGAGTAAAAGTAAAAGAAGCACATCGACACAATAATGGTTATTTAGTACTGGGAATAAGTAAGAGTTAGTTTAAGAAAGAGTTTTACAGCACTTGCAACACAATAAGGTCATATAAGTGCCGAAGATTAGAGGTGTTACAAGATAGTAACGAAAACAAAAAAGGAGAGATCAGGATGATAGATGTTTGAGTTTGATAGGAAAGAAGGAGCAAACCACGCCAGAGCACCCGCCAACCACCCACATAAGTAAGAGTAAAAGACAAACAGAAGTACAAGTATCAGAAAGAAAGTAAAGAAGTAGGAGCACCAGTTGCGCTCTTCAACCTCCCACTTCAAGTCTGCACTCTGTACCAATACAACAACAAGATTCTTTTACGGCAGAGTGGGGATATGAGCTTGATCAACATGCGAAAGTTTAAATTCGAACAGCAATGAGATCTGAAGCTTTCTTGTATTATTTCACCGCTTTGTCGAATATAATTCAAAATATCCAAAGCGGAAACAAGAAACTCAATCACATTCAAAGTTATCCTATTTCATAATTTAAAGCCAGATCTGAAACAGACGTCAGCAATCATGTTGGGTTTTTTTTCATTCTTTTCACTGTTTGGATGCTTTCAAAAAACCGTATCCAGTTATCACCCGTTATACCGCCTACCATGGGACGAGCATGAAGTTAGCGGTACAGCGGGGACTTTACCTCTATATATATAAATATAAAGATGGGTCTGTATAAAACACTGGACAAATGCAAAACAGGACAAGTTGAAATAGAATAATAACAAATATTATACACTTGATACAGTATGAATATGAACATATTTATTATTGTACATCTACATTATAATGTGTATGTAAAGGAGTGGCCACAGAAAATCACTCATAAAAATATAATTGAATGAAGACACACAATCAAGCCAAACAGAGGCAATTTTTTAAAATAGAATTTGAAGCTCACATTTTTTCAGCCCCTCTGCAGTCATACCTTATGTAACCTTTCAGCATGACCACATACAGTACAGTATTGAGCATGCAGTACTTAATTTACAAGTATGTACAAAGGACTCTTTATATTGAATTGTAATAAAATGAAATGATTTACAGAATACTTTGTATGCCCATATTATTTAATACAACATATTATCACTTATCCACTAAATTGGCAAAAGCATTTGGCTATTTTCTATAATACACTGGTACTGATACTTCAATGGCTCATCTTAATACACAACATCCCCATGAGATGAACCAAACAGATATGTATACAAAGTGAGTGGAAAGCCAGCACATCTCATGAACATGTCGGCATAAATAGGACTGGTCTGATTCACTTACAATCCGAGTCAAAGAACTGACAGAGTCAAAGTGCTTAGATTAGAAGGTCACAAGCAACAATTCTCCTCTTTCTGTTCTTATGCATCAGCTCACTCTAATATTATCAACCAATTACTGTGTCCAAACTACTACTGAAGTAGCAAACAAGGTACAGAAAATAGAAAAACATGTTTTCTCTTTCTGGACAACTTAATTAACACTGTGGGGGGTTTTCTAGCAACATTGATTTTTTTTTTATTAGAGGGGCTCAGAATAAGCTCCCAAAAAGAAAATTAAACTCATCTTTACCCAAAACTAGGAGATCAGAAAAATTGGACAAAACGATGCAGTATTTCTGTATACACATACTCGAAAAGAGCCAAGATAATTTTGTTTTTAAATGATAAAATACAATGAAATGTATCAAAATCACGGCAAAAAGCAAAACGACATTTAACTGTTGAGGTTCTGTAGTCTACTTCTTCAATCTTGACTCAGTAGACCAGAGAAAAGCTTGTACTCTGGAAAACAAAAAAAACTTGTTCAACCTTGTTGGATGGCAGCAGCAGAGGCCAAAAACCAAATCATCATGAACATGTAATAATTTGGAGCAACTTGGGCGGCGCTGGGAAATGGTAGAGAACGACGATAAATTTCAGATCTGATAAATCAGGATGCAAGACTCGTCATCACACAGTCTCGCATGAAAATTTCACAGATCTTTCTAATATTCTTTGCAGCCAGGAGAAAATCCTGAAGCAACTCCAAGGAGACCTTCTGCGGAAACAAGTCAAAATTAATGATAAACAGGAAAAATGCAACAACTACAGGACCATATTACATGCATAGCAAAATGAAATGTGTAACTATTCTAACCCCCTTTTCCCCACGAACACACACAGAAAAAAGAGAAAAGTTGAGGGAAGAGAAACACTGGATAGTGTTCAAGTCACATTACAGCATTGTTCATCAAAATCAAAACTGTTTATTTTTAGGGTCTGTTGTGATATTTTAAAAAATAGTTTTTTTATGTACGGTAGATGTTTTTTTATACCTCCATCAACACAATTTAGACCATTTAGTGAGGTGGCAACCCAGGCCGAAATAGACAAAAGATCCCACCAGAAAGACTGGGATATTCCATTTCTTAAAAATTCTCCACTCAAGAATCAAAACTCGGGTCTCCAGAGCGACAGTAAAGCGCCTTACCGCTATACTATACCACAGATGCCTGTTGTGCTGAGAGAAAGGGAGGGAGAAAGTAGTAACACTAACTAACAGTAAAATAAATACCTAAAATAAAATTATATTGGTACATGTATAGAGTGTATTTTTCACTTGGACAAAAACATTTGCAATTAATAACTACACACAGTATTCCGTTTTGGTACACTTCCGCTTGGCAATAGTAATCAGTAACATAATATGAGCTTGTGTTAATACCTTTATTCTTTTAAATTATTATTATAGTAGAGGGTTTTACAGCGCTCGCAACTGCATAAGGTCATATGAGCGCCAGGGGGTGGGTGTCAACAGAGAAGTCTTTACAGGGAATCAGACTTACTCTGCTCACCTCTCTAGCTTTAATTAATACCTTTGGAATCGGATGAAAAAAAGAAAGACAAAAACGTTTACTTTGGTTTTTTTAGTCCCTTAGTGCGGCAATGGACATAAAAGCAAAAATCTGCTACTGCTCATAGTTTCCTGGGAAATGTTTGTGCTACTTCATACTTCGTGGCCATCTGCACAACTTACAGAACAGATAATTACTAAACAAAAGTCTGAGACCCTATTTTAGAGCCATTTGCCCATTTTTTGAAGGAAGGAAATGGAACAATAGGACGACTGACCAAAAAGGGTTGAGGTGGGAAGAATGAAAAACTATTTTCACATTTATTTCAACAAAAAGTACACTTTTAATTTCGAAAATAGTAGTAGTAGTAGCAAACCGAAAGAAAAAAAAATCCCTGATTTCTTTAATCTATTTGAGCAACCTTTCTAAATCGTAAAAACGGCTAAACTGGAGGAAATCCCACAGATTTTGTAAAAGTTAACTCCAATGTATTTTCCTTTTTATCTTCATCCTCGAGAATGATGGTGATGAAGATTTAAGAAAATTCTGTGATCTCATCAAAAACAATGGCTAGTGTAAAAGTAAACGATGAAGACTATAATCCCAACATTCTCTCTCTCTCTCTCTCTCTCTCTCTCTCTCTCTCTGTCTGTCTGTCTGACTCTCTCTCTCTCTTTCTCTCTCTCTCACCAGACATTCACAATGGCTGATCTTTTGCATGCACCAATTTCAAAGGGGAGACTAAAATCAACTTATGATTTACTACATGTACACAAATTCAAATGAAATCATCCTACAGAAGAAAAGTGTAAGTTTAAACACAGCTGAATTCAACCGGCTAGTTGTTGAGGTTCCCGTCATTAGATGAAAACCAAAGCCTTGGAAAAGAACATTTCCTCAGCAGAGAATTCGGAGGATGGTGAAAATGAATGCTCTTCATCACTCCGTAAGAAGAGATCCCACGACAGGACACAAGAAAATCCTCACCGACAAAATATTGTTAAATTTTATACGAATGAACATTAAACTGTTACTTGTTCAAGCATGCCTTTGATGTTTTTTTTAAAAAAGTAATTTCAATTTACTTTCTGGAAACATTGTTACATACAGTGGAACTCGGATTCAACGAGGTCGTCGGGCCTGACCTAAAATCTTGTTGAATCCGAGTGTCTGTTATAGCAAACACGAGGTTTTGTGTAGATAATTACAGGCACTGAGCAAGTAATGTATAAAGAGTGGTCACAAGTAGTGTCTGAAATGCCTGCATATTATGAGCTGAGTTGTTTTTTTAAAAGACCGATTCGTTCAAATACACGCACCTGTGTCATCTCGATTGTTTACCACAAAGTTGTGTTGCTGTGTAGATCCTAGCATAACGGCAACTTTAGATTCCATAGATCAGCGCACAATTCATTACGAAGATCTATGCCAAGACTAGCTTATCATTGCAATAATGATCAGTTGCCCAGGGGAAAAAAAGACTGACGCATTTGTATCTACGACGTTCAACGCCCGGACCGCTAGTGCCACCCCCCCCCCCTTCCCCGACACACACACACAGTCACAGGTGTGCAGGCCGCCCATCCGACCCCGACACACGCCAGAGTAGACTTGTATGCAAGCCAACAACGCATGTGTTGGTATGAAAAAAGGCCGCTGATTGGTCATATACAACCGATTAAGCGAATAATGGTTCACGATGCAGTTACAATGGAGGGTTTCCCGGAATAGATAAAGTTTGTTCTGGGAGAAAAATGAGCGAAGCCACGTCTGCGGGGGCTGTTCACCCTGGAAGCGACCTCGTTGAATCCAAGCTCGCTGATTTAAGTGCTCGTTGAATCCGCGTTACTTTTATCCACTGTAATGTGTCGGTTGTGAAGCCGTTATTTAAGCATGTCTTGGTGTCATGAACGTCATTTCATCTCACTTTCCTGTGAACACTGAAACACGGTGTGTCAAT